GCGTAGTTCTTAAGCCTTTTTTCTGCCCTCAAAAAGATAGCGATGATAGGCAGAGGGTCTTTTAAAACCCGGGTGTCGGGTCACGTCTGAAGCTAGGAAAAGCCAGTTCCTCTTCTTTCCTTCCTACCAACGTGCAATCCGCCCTTCGATCCTTCGCTTTCCAAAATTTGCCCTGCTTTGGGGGGAAGACTGGACTTTTCGCCGCTTCCGGAGGGTGAGTTTCCAACTGCTTTTTTCAAACCCCTTCTGACTCTTTCGAGATGCCTTTAATTTCCCTCCCCGCCAGGTACAACTTTCCAAAACGGGAATGAGGGGTGGGTACTATAGGTCTACCCACTTTACTAGATGTGGCTGTTTAGTAGCGAAAGAGTTAGGCTGTAGAACAGGTCAGCGTTGGTTCCAGCCAACAGTTGCAAAACCTTCCGCTGAATTAAATATCGTATGTCAATTGTATGTAGAGACATTTATGGCATCAAAAGATTAGCAACAGAAATCTTATTTTTCTCTCTGTTCCCAACCCCCCTGCACAGAAGCTTTTGTGTTGCCCTTTGGGTATTTTGCGTTACCGTTTTTTTCTAATCTTTATGCCATTTTTTTTCTCTATATATTTTATTTTTCTTCTGTTGGGTGGATGGATGGACAGACTGCGTGGAGACAGAAGTATTAGGCATAATAATAACAACAATGGCAATAACTCATCATCATCATCATCATTATTATTATAAATCGTAGTGACATGTGAGAGATTATGGACTGCGCCCCTCTCTGTCCCTGAGACCCTAACTTGTGACGTTTTGGTTTCAAGTCCACGGGTTAGGCTCTTGGGAGCTGTGAGTTGTGCCCCTACATCCTTCTCCAGTGTGCATGGATTTGGGGAGGAGGGGGCTGTAGGTATATGGGAAAAGTTGTTTAACGGAGGAAGCCGTTCTTTGCCTTTGTGTTCTTCTACTCCACCCCCAAAGATCTACAAGTATGTTCTTAAATGATGGCCACAAAGGCTCAGCTCAAAACAAAAATAAAAATGAAATCCCACTATTTAAGAGAAATTTGGTATTTGAGTTCCATGAGTTTATTTCTTCTGCTCCTTTCAAGGTGTGAGTCGATGCATCCTTTTTGCTAGGGGTGCTCATGCGTATAAGTTTATCAGAGGTCTGTCTGGGCGTCCATTGGAAGGTGCAGGGAGAAAGCTCTGCAAAAAGCAGACATCAAGAAGCCTGGCTTTTTTTTTTCTGAATTGCAGCAAAAGTCCCCCGGAGTTCTGGTTTTGATTGAAGCTTTTAGGCAGAGCCCTGGATGGCAGGATTCAGGCATATTTTTATCCCCTCTCGGGCTGTCTAGTTGGGTCCTTTTAATATTCTAGTTGGGTCCTTTTAATATTCTAGACTGTTTTCCCTCTACCTCTTCACGCCCAACATTTAAGGAGCTCTCCGGTCTTCCTGCCAATTAATATTGATAATAAATGGACCTCAACGCAGGGCAATATATACAGTTTGTGCCTATAGGCCTGCGGATAAAAGTAAGTCCTTATTTCTCCCGTCTACACCCTCCCCTTAACACACGCATACACACACACACACACACAACCCCGACACATTCTTGAGAGCAACACACAGTACTTCCAGAGCGTAATAGAAACAGCTCGGTACCTTGGTGCTTGACCTCAATCTATCTTTCAGCTTCAAATCCCAGCATGCTTCCTGCTTCCAGGTTTAAAAACGGAACTATTATTTCATAGTACAGTGCACGGAGAGATGGTTGGTAGCTGGGCAGTTATATGTGCAACTGTTTTCACCCGACACCCCTTTTCTGGATCTTGCTGCGCCTGCTTTAATTTTTCACTTTTTTTTTTCCAGCATTCCATTCAAGATAAACGGCTTATAAACACAAGAGCTGAGGTTTTCCTTCCCTGGCTCTGGTTCTCTTTAGTCTGGCATTTTTTTTATTTTAATTTTTTTTGCAAAGGGGACACGAAACCTGTTGGAAATAACCTATCGGTTAGGGGGAAAAAAAAGAGGGATGAAGTTACTATGCTGGGAGGTGTGGTGTGCTTCCAAAGAGACTTGGGTTTGCTGGGGGGGGGGCGTCCCTTGATCCTGCCTTTTGCTGCATCATTGATAAGGAGGTTAGATTTGCCTTGCCCCCCAAAAAGGGCTGCATTGTGAATTTTGTTGCGTTGGTCCAGAATGCCATCGATATGAAATCAGAAATTAAGGGGAGAGGCCTCTGGTTTCATAAAAAGATGAATTCTGGGGATGTGCCCTGCTGAACATAATAGGGCAGCAGTGTCTCCGAGGCATGTGCTTGTGGTTGTTTGCGTGGTGACTTACAAATTAGTCCCACAGAATCCAGGCTCGTGTTTTGGGTAAAAACACACATAGATTCTTGATATGCATAGGCTTGGGGGAGCCGCAGGAGTGGAGAAGCTGCTTGCAAAATGGGAAAGCCCTTATTCATTTCACTGCCTTCTCAAAATTAAAAGGCAAAAGGATCCATGAAACAG